CACAACTGTACTTCTAATGTGAGATTCTCCAATTTTTTTCTCAAAAGTGTGTTTCTGAGTAGCAAATGACACTACCTCATTAGAATTGTATCATTAGAATGGGGAAAAAATAAGAACCAAGATAGGTCATGTATCCCAGTGATGAATGTAACTATAATATTTACCTAAATTGTACCAATAAAAGTAATGAGAAAATAAATAAAATAAATAAATAAATTTATTTATTTGTGGTACCGGGAGTTGAACTCGGGACCTTGCACTTGCAAGGAAGGCAGCAGAACCACTGAGCTAAATCCCCAGCCCTGGCCTCAAATTTATGATCCTCCTGCCTGAGTCTCCCAAGTAGCTGGGATTATAGGCATGTGCCACTGTATCTTATTTTTATTTTTAAATGTGATTCTTCTTGGGATGTTTTTCAGTATTGAATAAATTAACATAAAGTAAGGGTAAGGTCAGACCAAGGCACGATCAAGACCACTGAGGCAGGCAAAGTCTTAAGAAACAGGTGATGAGTTCATTGCCATCTGGGTGCAGATGGGCCAAGGGTGAGAAGTCTATTGGCACTGAGAGGAGGGTGCTCGTGGTTGATATATTTTAGGTAGAGGAGGGGGCACTGGTTGAGAGGGTGGAAAATTTTAGAGTCCCTTGGGTGATGGGCCTGGGACTGGCTGGTAAACAGGCAGTGGTGACAGCAGCAAACAGCTGTTGGCTCTCTGTTATCTCTGCTCCTGGGGATGTGATAGTGGGTATGCTCAGGTGGGGGTCCGACTCCAGGACCTGTCAGTAAGGAAAGCCCTAAACTGCTGCATGGCACAGAGCCCTCAGCCACACTATGATTATTCCATCAGGCATCCAGACCGTCCTCTGGCTGGCCCAGCCCATCGTCCCAGTGACCTGTCCACTCCCCCAACACAGGGCCACTATGACCGGACTGAGATGCCTGCTCTTCCCTTCCCAGCTCACTCTGGCCCATCTCCCACTACTTCATTTAAAGACTCTTCCTCTTAAGAAGTCTTTCCCAGAGCTGGGGTTTTAGCTCAGTGGTTCCACTGCCTGCCTCGCAAGTGCAAGGACCGGGGTTCAATCCCCGGTACCAAAAAAAAAGAAGTCTTTCCCAATCCTACCCCTTGAAGAAACTTCCCCCCAAAAGATACAGTGAAGTCCTAACCCCCTCTGAAAGTGACCCAATATGAAAATAGGGTTTTTGCAGATGTAACTAGTTAAGATGAAATCATTCTGAAAATAAATCATGAAGACCTTACAACCTACATCCCCAGGAACAAATTACTGACCATATAGGAAAACAAAAAACAAACAACCCTCAAGCATGAATATTTCAAACTAGGAAATGCATAGCATTTTATTTGCACACTGAGATGTTTAATTTGTTTGCTGTGGTGATCAGAGGAAAAAAATTCATAATTGTATTTGTATATTCATAAATAGTGCTAGAAATAAATAGATCATCATAATCATCGTGTGTACATCTTGGTGGTAAAAAGACAAATTTGATTCCACACCTGGCAGCCGAGGGCCGCATTTCCTTCATGCTCCTCCTCTGTCATGAAGAAGCGCTGTGCTGTGTGTCTGCAAGGAGTGGGACCAAGCAGAGGGGGGCCGCTCCAGAGCTCCCAGACATGTGTGCTTAGAGACTTTCTCTAGGACAGATGGCCCAGCTCAGGAGCAGGCCCAGCTGCGATGGTGGGGTGGGCGCTCTCCCTGCAGGGCCTTGAGGATCTGTCCGTCCAGCTGCATTGTCCCTTCTGGCCTGTGTCACAGCCAGAAGCCAACCACAGTGTCACAGCTTTTGATAATGGCTTAAGAGAAACAGAGCTAGACCCTAGTCAAAAGCAAAAAAATACAGGTTTTATTCAATACTTTTGCAAAGGAGAAAGGAACTGAGCTCAGTTCGAAATAAATGAACCAGTGGGATTTATAACCAAGGAAGGGAGTCGAGGTAGGAGAGAGAGTGGATGGAAAACTAAGAGGAGACATGGAGGGCAGGGTATTCCTTTTTTTTTTTCTTTTGTTGGTTTTTTTTGGAGACAGGGTCTCACTATGTAGTTCAGTTTGGCATTGAACTCACTATGTAGCCCAGGGTGGCCTTGAACCCACAGGAATCCTCCTACCTCTGTTTCCTGAGTGCTGGGACTACAGGTGTGTGCCACCACTCCTGGCTAAGGACGAGAATTCTTGATAAACTCAACAGGGTCCTTGCTGAAGGGAGCCCAAGGGATCAGATGCCAAGATCCGGAGGGGGCTACTTAGCATGATTCTCTGTTGGACCTGGTTCAGGTAGGCCCTGGATGTGTGGTCTAGTTGACAAAATGACTGGAGGGCTGGGATATGACTCAGTGGTTCCACTGCCTGCCTTGCAAACGCAAGGACCTGAGTATGATCTCTGGTACAAAAAAAAAAAAAAAGGATTGGAGCAGCCTGTCTGAGGTTATCAAGCAGTGAGTCTTGGACATAGCTATTATCAACAGGAGAAAATACAAGATTGTCTTTAAATTAGAGTAGATAGATGGAAAATACAGAAGATATGGACAGATTCCTTGATACATATGAATTTCCAAAACTGAATCAAGAAAATATAGACACTCTGGGCGTGGTGGCTCACGCCTGTAATCCCAGCACTTGGGAGGCTGAGGCAGGAGGATTGCTGTGAGTTCGAGACCAGTCTGAGCTACGTAGTGAGTTCCAGGTCAGTCTCAACTACATAGTGAGACCCTGTCTCAAAAAACAAAAAAAGAAAAAACCAAAAAAACCCAAAATAAAATATAGACGCTCTAAATAAACCAGTTTTCAGCCAATGAAATTGAATATGTAATTTTAAAACTACCAACAAAGAAAAGCCCTGGCCCTGATGGAGTCACTGCTGAATTAATGCTGCTGCTCCTCTAACTCTTTAATGAAATGGAAAGGGAAGCAGTACTCCAAGATTCATTCCTGAAAGCAAGTATTACTCTGATTCCAAAACCAGAGAAGGATCCAACCAAAAAGGAGAATTATAGGCCAATCTCCCTAATGAACATAGATACAAAAATCCTCAACAAGATAATGGTAAGCAGAATGCAGCAAATCAAGGTTATACACCATGACCAAGTTGGATTCATCCCAGGGATGCAGGGATGGTGCAACGTATACAAATCAATAAATGATGGGCAGAGGATTTAGCTCAGTGGCACTGTGCTTGCCTTGCGAGCTCAAGGTCCTGAGTTCAATCCCCAGTACCCCCACAAAAGAAACCCTGAAAAAATGTAATATACTATATTAACAGAGTCAAGGACAAAAACTATATGATCCTCACAATAGATGCAGAAAGTGTTTAACAATGTCAACACCCATTTATGATTAAAAACCCTACAGAAAATTGAGATAGATGGGCTTTATCTCAATCTAATAAAAGTCATCTGTGACAAACCAATAGCCATCATCATACTAAATGGACAAAAACTGAAAGCCTTCATTTTAAAATCAGGAACAAGACAAGGATGTCCATTGTCACCACTCTTATTCAATATAGTTCTGGAAACATTAGCCAGAGCAATTAGATAAGAGAAAGAAAAGGAATAAGGATACAAAAGGAAGAAGTTAAATTATCATCATTTGTGGGTGGCATGATACTTTGAAGACCCAAAAAACTCCACCAAAAGTCTTCTAGATTTGATATCTAAATTCCATGGCATAGCTGGATACAAAGTCAACACTCACAAGTAAACAGCCTTCCTTTACACAAATAACACATTCATGGAGAGAGAAATCAGAGAAACAATCCCTTTCACAGTAGCATCCAGAAAAATGAAATACCTGGGAATCAATCTAATGAAGGAAGTAAAAGACCTCTACACTGAAAGCTACAGTACTCTGAAAAAGGAGATTAAAGAAGATATTAGAAAATGGAAAGATATCCCTTGTTCTTGGGTAGGAAGAACCAAAATAGTGAAAATGGCTGTACTTCCAAAATTGTTATATAGATTCAGTGCAATCCCAATCAAAATTTCAACAGCACATTTGACAGAATTAGAAAAAACTATCCTAAAATTCATTTGGAACCAGAAGAGACCTAGACTAACAAAGGTACTTCTGGACAACAAAGGCAAAGCAAGGGATATCACAATCCCTGACTTTAAATTATACTACAAAGCTATGGTGATGAAAACAGCATGGTGCTGGCAATAGAACAGACTGTAGGATGCAGAAACAACTCCAGTCTTACTGAACCACCTTATCTTTGACAAAGGAGTTTCTTTAATAAATGGTGCTGGAAAAACTGGATCTCCACATACCGAAGATTGAAACTAAACCCATATATTTCACCATGCATTAACCTAAAATCAAAATGGATCAAAGTTCTAAATATTAAAAAAGAAATACTAAATCTTCTGGTAGAGAGAATAGGTAGAATTCTTGAAGATATAGGAGTAGGCAAAGACTTCATGAACAAAACCGAGACTGCTTAGGAAATACTACAAAGAATCAAGAGCTGGGACCTCATGTTATTAAAAAGCTTTTGCACAGCAAGAGAAACCACTAAGAGAGTGAAGAGACAACTCACAGAGTGGGAAA